GGGGGTGGGGGGGGGGGGGGGGGGTGTGCTGGGTTGCCCTCCTTGTCCAACCAGATCAACTGAAGACCACACATCCACATTCACACAACATGCTAAGCTTGGTTAGCATTAATCTTGGTTAATCTGCTGTGGCTTGCTGTGCTTTGGAAGCCTGCCCTGTTGGAGGATCAGATGCACCGTGTAATAAACCCCATGAATGATTAAGCGTGTTGTATGAATGACCTCAAGTGGCCTTCCCTGGGGGGAGGAGGGCACAGTCTGCTGTCCTGGGCAGGATGGAAACAACTGTGAGCGTCAAGAGAAGATATTTTACTTTCTGCCTTGGTTCTGCCCATCACGTCTTCTAGCCCATGTGTACAGCTGCCAACGTTCTCCTTTTTTTAATCGAAGAAGGCAGATGGAAGAACTCGATCGAAAACCATTTTGTCTGCCCAAGGCGCTCCATGGAAGACCAGTTCTGGCTATGGTTCCATGGAGCTTCCATGGAGTGCAGAGGCAGGACAAGGGACCTACACTTCTGGTTCCTGTTCAGATGCCCGATGAAACCCCAGTCCTGTATCTGTAGCAGGGTTTGGCAGCAAGGGCTCGCCAACATGTCACAGTCCTCTGGAAACCCAAATTGGAGTCAGCCTCTTCAGGCTGGCTTTCCAAACTCACTTCCTCTGCCCCGCTATGAAATTGGACAAAACTCTTTTAACAAAGAGCTTGTACCAACCCGACCAAGCTGGCCAGGCCACCCTCCTGCTCCTCTTTTAAGGCTGGGTTCGTATAACGCACTAAGTTAAAATGGGATTGGCCAGTTTACTTTCTGTCTGTGGCGCAAACTCAGGATTTTGTTCTATAAAGGGCAGTTCAGGAAGTGGCAGTTTTAGCATGCTGTGCAAAGCCAGAGTGTTTTGGTAAGAAACGGCATTTTAAAAAGCTGGAGACCCTGTCAAGGGGGGCCAAACTGGGACCGCTGAAAGGTGAGGCTCCTTAGAAGCCCAGGCAGAGTGCCAAGAAAGCTGGGCTTAATTTCCACTTCCCCCCACTGTCACGATCCACCTTTTAACCACCTGTGTAACACCCAGGAATCCTGTCCTCGAAGCTGGTGTGAAAAGAATACAACCTTTGCAGTGGTGGGACCCAGTTGTAGCACCAGTGAGAAGGGGAGTCGGGGTCTCTTCCCCCAAGAAAGTTCTCGTTCCTAGAAAGGAACAGCAGCCCTGCTGGAGCATAGGATGTGCGTTCACATCTGTGCATGTCGGCGTGCGTGGGACCCGCTGGAACCGCACAAAAAACAGGAGGAGGAAAAAGGAAATTGACAATTATAATTTTTGGAAATCTCTTCCAGAGTCTGGAACAGAATCCAGAGCACCCCACCCTTCCAGAGCAAAAAAAAAAGGGGGGGGAGGAGAAAAGCAACTGGGAGGGCCCCCCCAAATGCTTTGTGCAGCCTTCCCAATCTTTCCTTAGCAGCGGATACGGGTTGCCATTCATTTCACGATCGCTGTTCCTTCCTGTCCCATCCTACTAAGAGTACCTTTGCCCACGCACGGGTGGGGCAGTGCCCGGGTCTGCCCCTGCCTGCCCACCCCCTCAGGGAGGAGGAGGAGTTTCGCAAAGGCAAGGAAGAATCCAATGAGGAAGAGCCAGGATGAAGAGAACCCCAACACACACACACACACACGAAGAAGAGGTCCTCCTGTTGTGCCTCCAACAGATCCTTCCTGGGACCATCTGTACGCCTGGGAAGGGGGCGTGCCAGCCCCTCCATTCCACCTAAGGGGGAATCAAGCGTCTCTCACTGTCGTTTTCCTGCTTTGCTCTTCCTCCTCCTCCTCCTCCTCCTCTCTGCAGCGAAACCCCACCCCTTTGCGAGGAAGAAGGTTGCCAAGCCAAGCCACGCACCCCTGACCAGCCCTATTTGACAGAGGAAGGAGTCCGCTCCGCGCCACTGTATTTCAAGAGATGGCTGAAGTCTGTCAGGGTGTGCTGAGGGCCCAGCGTCGGGGTCCGCTGGGCCCGGGCGTAAGCTGTCTGACCTTCCCCGCTGTTGAACGTGTGCGTGCGCTTCAGGTGAGTGCTCCCCTTGCTGGCTGTGTTGTTACTATTGAAGTTCAGCTTCTCGGGGTTCCACTGACTCCCCGTGTCCCCACTTGGAGCAGAGACGACCCGCCGCCGGTCTGGGCTGTCGTGTGGCGTGATGGGCAGCTCGCTGCCATAGGAGCTCCGAGTCCCGCAGGGTCGGTGTGCCGGCGGGCCTTGCTGCGGCTGGATGCCCCTCGGCCCCTCGCCACCGCTAACCGGGAGGTAGCGCATGTCCAGCGAGAGGTCGGCTCCTTCGTCGTCCAGCTCTTGGTCCATCAACACGGACTGGCAGGAAATGGGGATGACCCGCCCGGAGCTCAGGTGAGACGGCACCGGGGTGTGTCCCGCGTGGAGAAGGATGACCGAGGAGGGTGGGTCTCCCCCTCGCAGGGAGGCGTTAATGAGATTGTGGCTGTATTCCCAGCTGCATGGTTTGGGACACCGTTTCTGCTGCAAGGGGGTTTGTTCTGGGGTGGGGAGTACCCCCGAATCCAGGTCATGCTGGCCCACCTTAATCAGTCCCTTGGGCCACCCGTTCTGCATGAGGGGAGCCAGCAAGTTCTCCGGCTGCCCGCCGGGTCCCCGGGAGCGCCGGTCCCCCAGCCTGCTGACGCTGACGACGGATTCGCCGTGCGCGAGGATGTTCTCCTTGTCTTTGCGGCGGGCCAGTTCCTTGCGGTCTCGATGCCCGATGAACCAGCACACGCTGAAGCCCGAGATCACCGCTCCGATGACGAAGGCGGCCACCGAAGAGATGACCAGCAAGTTGACGGAGACCAGCCCGTTGGGTTCGTCCACAAAGCTTTCGGTCACCAGCCCTGGGGAGGAGATTGGGACGTTAGACGGCAGCCGTAGCAGGAGCCAGGAGCGTATGCCAGGGATGGGGAAGGGGTTGCAACAAGAGGGAAATCTGAAGCGGGGGGGCTTTTCTGCAGAAACTCCCCTTCTGGGGAACCCCCACATTCAGGAGACTTTTAATAACACTTTTTTCCCACTCATATTTGGGGACTGAGGCGTGAGTGGGTTGACATACCAAGGTTGGGACGAATCTGGTTGTTTGAATTTATTCATTTTCCTCCATGAATAAATGAACGAGTGTAAAGTTTTCGATTCATTTATTTAATGGGGTTCTCTTTATCTAGCTGTAGGAGTTGTGTGGAGATCACATTTTAAGGTCATATTTATGTGGAAATATTGAAAATTCAAGAAGGTTCACATACTTCTAAGCACCACTGTATAAGGCATCATGGTTTGGTGATGGTAACATAATAATTGCTGATCAGATCTTTTAATTGTTGATATATCGAGAATTTCAATAATATGGTTGATGCCTGTATGGTTACATATTGTAAGTGGTCGCTTGTAATCAGAATCTGGCAGTTGAAGGGGCATGAAGGCATTTGGGAAAAAAACAAAAATTACGTTTGGAAAAAAACCCCAAAAAATTATGGAGAAACAGTCAAGCAGGAAACAATACCCTAATCAAAGAACTACCAACTCAGACAGACAATCAAGCCGTAAACAACAGCCTAATCAAGGAACTACTAAGGAGAAAACCACACCCCCACCAGCACTGACAGATACCACCGCACGTAAACAGAGAGCAAACCCCACTCCATCTAGCACTGAAGATGTTACCTGGCTGGGTAATGAAACATCTGCAAGAAAAGGACCAAGCTCAGAGAACCGCAGTTCCACCCTGAGCTACACAGATTCTCTTTTATTGGAAACCAAAATTAGTAATAAAACGAAATTAGAAACAAAATAAATAAAAAAATAAGAAATAAAATAAAACAAAAGCATTAAAACTGAAAACTGAAAAACAAGAAATACACTAAAATAAAAAATTAAGGAATGAAATAAAAACTAAGGAATAAAATAAAATAAAAGATTAAGAAATAAAATAAGAAATAAGAAATAAAATAAAAGACTAAGAAATAAAATAAAACAAAAAACTAAGGAATAAAACCAAAAATTGAGAAATAAAATAAAAAATTAAGAAAAAATAAAAAATAAGAAAAATAAAAGATTAAGAAATAAAATAAAACAAAAAACTAAGGAATAAAATAAAAAATTAAGAAAGGAAGAAACAAATAAAGAAATAAAATAAAGAAATAAATGAAATGAAATAAAAGCATTAAGACATAAAATTAAAAAGCAAGAAATACAATAAAATAAAAAATAAAATAAAAACTAAAGTAAAATAAAGGGTTAAGAAATTAAATAAAATAAAAAC